ACAGCCCGCTACTCCTCTCTGTGCGTCAATCAAAGCTCTGCGAGGGGCCGAGGCGCCCAGTAGGTCCGCCTCCAGCACCGTGTGATCCGATCCAAGCATTGACCCCTCACAAGCTGATCCATACAGGCTAATTATGGATATTCTTTAAAAGAAAAACTGTCGTAGTGGTTTAAAGCCTGTCCAAGTTGAATTTATTATTCTAATTTCTTTTAATAAAGGTTGCATATCGGCGTCCACTATGGACTACATACTACTTCCGCCTTCCTGTCATAATTATATTAAATCGATTATTTTAAATTTTGGGTCACTCCTGATGGTCTGATCCGAGCTATCCAAGCCGTGAGAATAAGCTGGACTTAGTCCACATTTTAACTAATGAGAAGCTTACTGTCCCCTCAGAGACCAATTACACACCAACCATAATCTCCTTTATAAGCGCACAAAAGGTTTGTGCGCCACGCAGTAAACGCAATAATTAGTGATTAAGTATCCAGATAATGTGCGGGGCAGATGATGAGAAATTTGTGAATGGGAAACATTTAATCAGGTATTCGTTGTACGCTGTGACGCTTCCACGCCCGCAGCCAATCCCGTGCGCGCTGAAAATGTCGAACACGCCGAAACCAAACCAATGGCGCATCATATAGCAAAGACTAGCGCAAGAAGAGGCCAATCAGCGGGAGGCATGCAAACGAGGAATTTGCTCCGGCAGGCTCTGAATGTCAAGTAGTCAAAGATGGAGTCCGGGTCTGCGAGGCCGTGTGCTTGTGCATGGAAGACTTGCGATTTTTTCTGACTCTCCGAGCTCCGCAGATTTGATCCGTGTCTACCCGCAGCCTCGCAGGATGACGGCTCGAATCCTCAAACTAGCGGAACGCGAAGTGTGGTTTGTGGAGAGGGCTGCTTTTCTTTGTTTTATGGACAACTTTTTCCCTTTTCTCTCCCCCCCCCCCCCCCCTCCCCTTTTTTTTTTTTTTTGCCCATAACGGATTGTCCCTCCCTGGCTTGATACTATTCATGATTTTGGAGGAGGAGGTTATGGAGGTGGAGAAGGTGGAGGAGGGGGAGGTTGGCCACGATGAGTTGTAGCTGATTTTTATTTATTTATTTTTAAAATCTTTTCTTTTTTGTGTGCGTAAATTGTCAGGAGCTCAGTGCAAACTTGGAAGTTGCAAAGGTCGAGATACGAAGATTTTCCTGTTTCTTTGACCTAAAGGAGCAAAACGGCGATAAGAGTTGAGTGAATCCCGCGCGCTGCGCATCTGGAAGCTCGCTTCAAAACTTGATCAGGACACGATTTAACGCCTTGTGGACAGACACCCCGCGTCCTCCACCTTATCGCGCCGTTATCTTAGTGCGGTGGGTCTCTCCGAGGGGGGTTCGGTGGGTGGGGGGGGCATTTTCACGGTGCTAGCGTGTGCGTACGTTTAGTGCAGCCTATATGCTGTTGTGCAATCTAACAAGTCGTCAGTATGGTTCTGTGGGTTTGTGAGAGCTGGCCGGAGTGGCTCCCACAGCAAAGCCAGCGCTTCTAGATGGCGTATAGGCCGCTCACAGAGATGTATGGCGGATAAAGCTCCCAAGAACAGGTAAAAAAAAAAAAAAAAGGGGGGGTGGAGAGGAACACCTTGAGGTGTATTTATAGGAATCGTCAGATGTCTGAGGAATGAGGAAGCTACGCTGTGTTCTGGACGCTTGCAACGCCTCTTTCCTGTCATGCTATAGATTCTGTACGTTGTGTAACTGCGCACCCATTGTGTAAACTTGCAGGATTTGCTTCACTTTTATTTCCAGGGATTGCTACAGTTTACTAATTTTTTCCTGTATTGATGCAAACTTTTTTTTTCAGTTTGAATATGTTAAATAATTTAGCTCAATTTTTCCCCCACCATGTGTTCGTTTTGCACAAAACTAATATTTATTTATTTATTTATTAATTTTTAAAATGTGTTTTTATAGTTTGGCATTATCAGCCCTGGCTCTTTGAATCCTTTGAGAGAGTGTGTGTGTGTCTGTGTGTGTCTGTGTGTGTGTCCCCCCTCCCCTGTTTCCAACCTCCCATTTCTCCACCAAAATTAGAATGCATGTCATTCACTGGAGAGAATAGTATGGGCCCACATGCTGGGAAATTCCCATTCTCCCAGGGTGAGAGTAACCAATGCTGTTTAATTTGGGAAGTTCATTTAACTCCTCAGCTGAAAAGCTATACTGTTAATCTGTGACATCCTAACTTTTGTTTCCAGGACATGCACGCTTGCAGGGCTGAACTTTTTTTGAGCTAAACCCATGACTTTGTGCAGAAGTAACAATTTGTTTCCAGTTTAATTTAGTTAGTTTGCAAACTAACTTTACTTTTTTTCCCTCCTTTTTTTTTCTGATCCAACTGTGTGTGTGTGTGTGTGTGTGTGTGTGTGTGTGTGTGTTTTAATTGATTTGTGTGATTTAAGCGACTGTTTGTTGCAGGGCTGAGAAAACAAGGTGGGTAGTTGAGTCAGTATGTGCAGTGGAGGCTGATTGTGTCCATGTTGTTGTCCACTGCCCTTTTTCTGTTGCACTACTGGACACTGAGATGAGCAGTGCAATATTAAAAGGGCATTGGCTGATGAAACAGACACTCAAACCTCCCTTTACTGCCTTAACTCTTAACCTGCGTGTGGAGAGATTTTTTTTTTTCTTTTCCCCCGGGTGTGCTTAAATGTGATGCAACTGTGTCTCCTGCTGCACGGAAACCTGTAGACTTAAGTCCACACTCGACAGACGTTATCAGCCACATGGAAGAAGACAGGTAAATTTGCATTTCAACACCCACCTTCTTGTTTTGTTATAAATAACACCTTTGCTTCTTATTTAAGCGTAATTGGAGTTTGGCTGTGAAGAATGGCTGTAACCCCCCCCCCCCCCCCCCCCCCACCCCCACCCCATGTCCACGTGCTGACACATGCTGAGGTCAGCTGCTTTGACAATGTTGCACTACTGTACCATCCATTCTAGCAGTGCAATAGTATTGTCATAGCATTTGGCCTCAGTTCACACTAAAACCGGTGCTTAAAGGGCTCGCTTCAGACGAGCTTGTGTAGAAGTAAAGCCAGTGTCTGATGGCAGGTAGAGGCAGAAAGCCTCCTAAGCTGTTTACCTAGTACTGTATTTACAGAGCAGAGTTTACACACATTTTCTAGGCTGACATAAGTCCTTGTGACCATGAGGCACATGAAGTAAAGAAGACACACATATGGTACAGTTGGGTTTTTCTTTTTTTAGGAGGGGTCAAGCTTGTGATGGAAATCATCACATATTTCCATCAGGCGCCAAACAAAGTGTGAATTTAACTTAAAAAAACACACACACACACACACACAACTGTAGATGGATTTGAAGTAAAAGTGGACACTGCAGTTTATTTATGTTAAAATGATTAAACAATCAAGTTTTTCTCTTCTTATCAGACTTTACCTTTTTTCTTCATGGTGTTCTGTTGTCAATGAGATGGTGAGCATGGATGTTGGGGTAAATTAAGCAGATGAAAAAGAAAAGGAGGAGGGGTGGGAGGTCAATGTATGTGGGGGGGGGGGTTCTTTCTTTCTGAGCATCCTCGGTGGTAGCAGGTCGATGGGGGGAGGGGACGTTTGTGAGGAATGTAGGGAGCAAGGCCCTCTCACCCTCTTGCCTTTTGCCTTCCCTTTATTTTCTTTCTTCCTTCTCTTTCCCAGTCGAGATTAGGTGTCACTGCTCCTGTGTGCGTGCGTGTGTGCCTCGTGTTTGAACCCTGAAGTAGGAGAGCAAAGACGTTTGTTTTGATGACTGTCAGCGGACCTTTCTGGGTGGAAATGTTTAACCACAGTCCAGTTGCTGTTACAAGCTGCTGGAGAAGGACTCAAGGCATTATTAAAAACAGACAGGAAGCATATTTTGGGGCACAGATTGCCCCGCTGCAGTAAAAGGTTTCAGGTGAAAAGAAGGTTTGCTGTGACTGTGTAGTAAAGCTGGTTTATAGAATCTCATTAGGTCTCTCCAGAAAGGAACAAGGAAAAAAAATAAAAGACAAAAAAGAAAACGTATGATAGTAATAATACATTTTAAATGGTGACAGAGGTGTTTCAGATGTAAAGGTGGGTCTTTGTGATTGCAAAAGCAGGCTTCAGTCACTTGACTGTGTGAAATTCTTCCTGAGTAAAGAACGTGACTTGTTTAGGCTTGCTTGCAATGCTTGCTGGGAAATCCTGGAATGTGTGGAATGGGGGACGGTGGTGCTTCTGCAGCTATCTGACTGCATAGAGCAGCAAGTATCCTGCAGTGAAACCCAACATGTCAGCAGTGCTTTTTGAGCAGCTTAAAACCTCAATCAGAGAATGCACGGTTAAACTCCAGGCAAGAGAAGCTAATTAAATGATTACATGAACTCAATTACAGAGCAAACGCTGTGCTTGTTTTCTTTGTCATTTATTTTTGGAGCTACTGCTCACGAGTTAATGTGTTTGATTTAGTTTTTGGTAATGTACATTTTTGGAAAGGGGGGGGGGGGGGAAACAAGTTAAATTATGTGATGCATTTATATAATTGATCTTAAGCTAAGTAAATGTGTATTTCTTTTAAATAATTTATTTAACAGGTTTGTGAAACCTTTCTCATTAATCTGCTGTCATGTTCCTCTGTCACCCTCTCTCTAAATAAAGTCAGTTAAATTTACATCTTTGTCTGTTTTTTATTTTTCTTGCAAAATGATGGGTTTAAATGAAATCACACGATTGCACAGCAGATGCAGCATTCTCATAAAAATATAAATTGCCCTTTATACTCCAGTGACAAAGTCTAGAAAGTAATTAGAAAGTAGAGGGTGGAAAAAAAACATGAAAATTGTCAGTTTTTGTACCTAAACTTTGAAATCCCTGCAGGCCTTAAACGGACGGTTTAGCAGGGTGCACTTACAGCTTCGACAGTTTTGATGCACAAACAGATTTTCGCTCTGGATCTTGTTGCAAAATTGTGTTGCATTTATTGAAAACATTTATTTATTTATATTTTTTGCAAAACTTACAGAACTCCATTTTTAATTTGAGAGGAAACTAGAAAGTTTAGAAAGATGGCAGAAATCCTGCCTTAAATAATCAACTATTGTGAGTACGTGTGAACCGTATCGGTGTTATTGTGTCGTGGAAAAAATAAAAGTATATATTTGGGTTTAAATTTCACTTGGTGTAGACTATCCAGTCAAGTGGAAGACGGGGAAAACACTCAGAGCTTCACACGCAGTGAGGAAAAATGTTTGTAAATGCAAACAATGACCCAGCAAAGGCATAGGATCAACAAAGTGAAAATCATTAGGTTTGAAATTCATATGGCAAACATTAGGGGGTCAAACTCATCTGACTTCATGGGCCTTATACACCCCAGTTTGACTGTAAGTGGGCCGGAGCAGTAAAAACCACCAGTAACTTTCAAATTACACCTCCAAGACTTTCCATTTGTTTCAGTGTAAGTAAGCACAATTTATTTTTAAATGTTTATATTCACCGAACCTTCCATTTGCAAAGTAGATGATGAACAAGAAATAAAATATGATTTTTTTAGTTTGTTGTGAACAATAGTATCTTATTTGTAGGCTCAGATCTAAAACCACTTTGGCATTCCATACATTTTCACTCTCGTGCAGTGATGCTGCTTTCGCTGCATAACAAAGCAAATAACTGGAATTATTAACGATTTCTTTGGCATTTTCACACTTTGCAAAGCCATTCAGTGTGGTGACATTTTTCACATTCTAATAAATGCAACAAACAGTTCAGAAAGGCCTCCAACCAAAAGCACATTAGCCACTGTGTTTAAATCAAACAGCAGGTTCTGGATGCTTCGACGGTGTGATGAGCTCTCTGGAGAGCAGACATGCTGTCATCGTTCAGCCGGGGTGCCATGTTAACCCTGACTGATGATAAAATACATCTAAACTGTGGCAGTAATACACATGTTGCATATATTGTAAAATATTTGCATAATTGTTCCCATTATATGCTTTTAGAAATTCATAACCACAGACTCTTTCACCACGTCTGTGCACTTGGATTTTGAGTCACATTCATTTCCCCCCAAAACACAGAACATATACATGTTTTAATGGATTTCACCAACAGTATTATGGCTACTCGTGTTTCAAGTTCTCCTTTAATATCATGATAAAAATCATTGCTGTGAATTTTGTTTGCCAAAAATAATGCTGGTGTGAAACTATTAATGTCACGGCCCTAATTTGGATCCTGATGGCACTCCTCTTCCTCCTCTGTTTAAGCAGTTAGGCTATTAAAGGAGTGATCAGACGCTAAATTATTTTAAAGACAAACAGTTATGATTTACAGTTCTCCCATCAGAGAGCGGTGTGGTGGCTATTGTGTGATGCGTAGGGTAGATTTGTATGTTAGTCTGATTTTTGGACAAGTCTAAAAAGGAAATTATTGTATTGTATTGTATTGTATTTCAGCAACTTTCAAAATATTTGAAACAGGAAGCAATGCTTTATTTTCATATTAAAAATGGAAGCTGGTACATTTGAAAAGAAAAGCAAAACTTGTCGTTTCTCTCGGCTCTTTTCTTTGCTGAGAGATAAATGAAGATGCACAGCCTCTCTGCTGATGTGCTGACCGTGCCCATCATTTAACCCTCTTCAAAGATTCATCCCTGCTGCAGAGAGGCAGTTTAATGCCATCCAAAGGACATGCGCTGTAGTGCAGAGGCAACTAGTGAATTTGACACAATCACAAAATGCTCGTTATGCTGATGTGATAAATGATTAATGATGAAATGAAAATTTACCACAGCGACAAACTGATCATCAGAGCCTGCTTTAGTTTCACTGAACATCAAATAGCAGCGGACGCCGAGTGTGGGTTATTCTCACAAAATGCATTCATTCAAAAGCAGATTAAACAGAAGCGATCAGCTGATTTGTGCAGGTGAGAAAATACAACAGGACAAAGCGAACACAATGACTCAAGAAACAGCAACAATAAACACGGGTGACCAACAGACAATGGGCAGGCAGAAATCCAAATAAACCAAAATAGCCCCGATACAAGAAGTGAAATCATCAAGGAAATGTTTATGTGCCTGTTTTGACAAGGAGGAGGAGGGATTGAAAACTGAGCATTGGATTTACCTCTCGTGGCTTATCTGAAAACAATCTGAAGCAACCAGCGAAAAAACGCAAAAAAGTTCATCTGTGTTAATCTTAAAGCAGCTGAAAGTTTGAAATATTTTTAAAACAATGATGACTTTAGATTAAGTTAGATTCACGTTTAATCTCTTCACACAGGAGATTCCATCATCTTTACTAATGCTCTAAGTAGTTAATAAATAAAATAAATCAGCACATCACTGTGAAGCTGAAGTTTGGCTCCAGAGTGAAGCGTCACTGATGGTAAAGGATTTCACCATTTTCACCATCGTGACACTCTGATAGAAAATTCCTCCACAATCACACATGAGCGCGGAAATCCTACAGTAACAACGGAGAGAAAGTGTGTGTGTGTGCGTGTGTGTTCCTGAGATACAGAAGGAGAACAAATGCTAAATGTCCAGGTGCCCTGTGTCCTGCAGAGCCACACATATTTGTGAGTGTGTTTAGGTGTTTGCTCATGGATTGCATCACATCTGTTTATGTTGGTGCTCTCCATGATGAATGAATACCCAGATGGAGGCTCCTGATATTAACATCTGCTTCTGTTTTCATGTATTCAAAATAAATGTAACTTATTTAAGTTTAACGATCAAGACGAGCTTCTGCAACAGCTGTGAGAAAAATGTTTCTGGTATAAAAGTGATGAGAGCTTTTTGGAAGATTAAATATTTGTTTCAGGAGATAAAACTATTCAATATGTTTGTTGTGGGTATAAAAATAAACTCATTCAACCACACAAGAATCAATCCTCAGGTGGGCTGCAGAGGTGATCAGGCGCCACCCACTGGACAAAAACTTTAATGCAGAAAGTAAAATCTTTAACTACACGTTATTTTTCCTAAAGTATGCTACATTGCTATATTTTTAAGATTTTGCCTCCTAGTTTAGACGATCTGTTGCTGAGCTTTAAAATAATAATACTTATATTTTTGTGTGAAAAATCACATCTAAAAACTGTGATTGCAACAACTACAAAAAAAATTCTGAATATTATTTATCTCTTTTAGACAAAACTGATTTATATGCTTATTTAGGAGCTTTACTTCATTGAGAACAATAAAAACGGATTTTATGAATGTTTTATTGAACCAATTCAACAGATTATGGAGTAAAGCTCCTTTTTTTAACATTTTTTTTTTAAAATAAACCATTACATAACCTTTAAAACTAGAAGTAAAAACACTGAGTCTGTTTCTGTTTGAAATCCTAAACTGTCAGCGTGCATGTGGAGCAGTAAGTTAATTTCGTGCTAGTGTGTGCACCTTAGGTTTACAATAAACCCTTCATGTGTGCACGGGTACAAGCAGCCGTCTTCAGTGTGTGAAATGTTAATGACAAGAAGATGCACATTACTCTGTAGCTTCTTCATCCCTGAGTCTGACTCTGCCGTCACTGCAATGGAAGAAACAAATGAACTACTCGTGAACTTTTTAACATGAACAGATGTAGAGAAGAAATACAGTTCATCATAAAGATCTGTTACCTCAGTTTTTGTTTGTGAGAGGATAGCTGTTGAGAGTAAGCGGCGATGACACAAAGTCTGGAGATGCCTCAGAAACAACCTCGTGGGGCATCTGAGTGAGAAAAAAAAGACTCTCAGGATAAATGATGAAAGAGACAAACATCTCCTTTCTGTAATGTTTGACCAAAGAGGAGGGCTGACCAGGACTGGAGGAGCCATGAAGAGGTAATTGACGGGGTAATGCATCAGATTCAGGCAGGAGGAAGAGTACAGATCTGCATAGCGCATGAGCTGGCTGGCGAACAGCGTCTGCCTGGAGCCGCTGCGCAGGAGGCTGCCCATCTGGCCATATGACATGTCCATCCTGTAGGTCAGCAACTGCAAGTATAAAATAAACAATGCAGTGGCTTAATGGCACACATCACATCGAACATTTTAAATGTTGATGAGTGAAAATATACCAATCTGACTTCCTGCTTAGTCCAATTTAATTCTAAGAAAGTTTACTTTTTTGGGAATAGACTTCTTATAGACAGAGGGAGTCAAAAGTCATAATCTACCTCTGACGTGTTGATTTAAGGAGATTCGTGTTACGCTCAGGAGCGTGCAGAGGTTTCCCTGCAGTCTTGGAGACCACAGATATTATCTGTTACTCGGTCATTAGTGTTACTGTCCTTCTACAGTTTTCATAGCAGAGTGCAGTTGCTGTTGTGTTGGAAATCATGTTGCACCATGAGTGTCCATGGATGGTAAATTTCCACAGAGGAAATGTGTCAGTGTACAGTTCAAGTCTCTGGCATGAGAGACACATTCCAGGAGCATGTTCATTCTTGCTCATTCAGGGATGATTTCTTGTTCAAAAACAGCTTCATTTTAACCATAAACTTTTTTGTACTGTTTTCTTTTATTCTGTCCTTTTAGCAGTAGACTGTATATGAAAGCTAGACACAACCTCAGGGTCTGAAAACTAAAGCATATTTTGAGGTGCCTTAAACCTGTATTTTTTCCAAAGGCCAGCAGGGGGCATCACCACCAGCTGGCTACAAGTCAGAATGTATAAAAGTCTGTTGTAAAATGACTCCCTGTTCACTTGATTTATGACCTCAGCAAACACTTTTATTGTTAACACTCATGGTTATAAGTTTTAAGTCATACTGAAAAGTTGATTATGGTCTGGTTTATGGAAAGATTGGGTATCCTTCAGTATGACACACGAATGAGTTACATCCTCAGGTTTTTTTGTAGCCAAACTCACCTTTTGCTCCTCGCTACCACTTTTGAACAGCCTTTGGTGGACTCTGTTCCATCTTTTTCATACAGTCTATGGTACTGGGCGTGTCAGTGTAATCGGGGATTGTAAAGAGACTCCGAACAGTTTCCATAAAATACAAATCAGCACATGATTTCAACATCGAAGGCAATTTTATGTCTTCCATACTGTTAACATGCCAAGACCTGTATTTACTATTAAAAAATACACTTATTCTGTGAAGCTTAACATTATGGGTGACTTGTGCCAACTAGTGCTGCAACTCTGTGACTGTGGAAAGTTACTCAATACTTTAAAAAGTGTAGTTTTAACCATATGTAGAGCGAAGGAATAGAAACACTGTCAAAGTGGTGAAGTGAACTGTAATGGTGCTGAACGACAGTTATGCTGCACAGACACATTTGGGTTTTCTTCTGCTACAATAGTGAAGCATTGCTATCGTAGTGGTAGATTTTAGAAGTGCATTTATGCATTTAAAATGACATAAAATGTATTCCAGGTATATCTCAGGACATATGAGACATATTTATTTCATGGTGGTGATAATTTAGCTCCCATGCAGGACTTTGAGCTTTCAACATACAGAGAATGAGGCAGAATTTGAATCCAAAAAAGCATTTCTAATACCAGCTGAAGGTACAGTGTAGGTTGTACGAATGCATTGAACTTTACGCGCATCCACAACTAAGGTGTGGGAATCTTTAAAATACTGTGTTGTGGTGTGCAGAGCTCACCTTCATTCTCATATGAATGGAACCGATGTCACGATATTCTTGACTGGTGGTGTCTGGGTGCCTTCAAAAGACACATATAGAAAAATGAACACGTGCTATGTCACTTTATCTAACTGTGTCACATGTAGGAAATGAAAAATCAAATGCAAGTCTTATCAGCATTAGTGTTAGTGAGTAAATACGCAGCGAAGAGTTCTCTCGTTTGGAATCTCAAGAGCTGCAAAACATCAACAAACTTGTTTAATTTCCAGTAAAAATGCATGAATTAATAAAACATTTAAAATCTTACATATGGTTACTGAATAAAATGTTAGTCTATCCCATCTATTCATGACACAAGATGGGATTTTTTTTTTCCAAAACTGGGGCTTGTGGGTGCTTGTGCTCCACCTGCTAGCCACATATAGAACCCTGCACCTTATGAGAACATGTTGATTATTTCATTGGGTTTAACTATTTTAAATTATAGTAATGGTAAAGCTCACCGATCTAAAAACTGCAGATCTGAGTGCCTTTCAAATCTAAACATATCTACAGGAAATATACCGAAACAAAAAATAGACTCACTTGTTAAGTTCAGCTAAGTAGAGATCAAGACACTTGAGCTCCTCAAAGATATCTGAAAAACCAAGTATTGCATCAAAACCATGACACCACAGTAAAACAGCACACAACGAGCGGATCATTGTTCTTACTTTTCCTTTCCTCCCACACTTGCAGCTCTTTGGTGAGCTCAGGAACGACCAGGAAAGTCTTCCAGCCCTGTCGCTTCTTAGACTTCAGGATGTCGCCAAAGATGTGATCTCCGACATAGAGGATGTCCTTGCCTATGACGCCCAGCAGATCACAAACAATGTCTGAGGATCCTGTAACCAGAAAACACAAGTTAAGCAGCTGAACTGAACAGAATTGAACTTTACTAATAAGGACAAAATAGTCGAAGGAAAACTCAGTGCTGTCTCACCTCCTGAGTAGACTGTTCCATGCTGGAGGTCACCGGTGTATGTCCCGATGCGAAGCTTTCCTGTGTTCTGTGTATAAAAAGGAAACAGATTACTGGAAACTGTTGATGCTCAACATTGTGATGCAACTCTTCAAACACTCTTTCACACCGTGTCCACTTGTCTCAGCACAGTCCCCTCTGCAAAGAACAGCGGCTTTTTGGTGTCCACAACGACAAGGTCGAAATACGAGCGCCAGCTCTTTCTGGGGCTTCCAGGCTGGAAGGAAAAAATTTTTTTTAAAAATGTCATTCTCATGATTCTCTTTAGAGGACAGAAAGTCCAACCACAGTTGAAGATGCCTTACCTTCACATTACTTTCCAGCAGGTATGTCATGATGACCTTGATGAAGAAGGTAAAGTGTAAAATATACAGTTAGAATGATTTAAAAGGCAGAATGATCATTTACAATGATCTCATAAACATTAACAGGCCGCTTCATTAGGTCTACCTATTCAACTGCTTGTTAATGCAAATATCTAATCAACCAATCACATGGCAGCAACTCAGTGCATTTAGCTGTGCCAGAACCCAGAGAAGCCAGACTGCTTTGAGCCATAAAGGAAACAGTATCTCAAACTTTTGGCTTCAACATTCAGACTCAGAATTTGTTCTCCGAGGAAGGGCCTTGTTGAATCTATGCCACAAAGAATTGAGGCAATTCTGAAGGAAAAAGGGGTCCAACCTAGTAATAGCAAGGTGTAGCTGACGATGGGGGCATTAATTTTCCTTTGTAGTTGGAAGGTTTTAGTCATGGCACACTCACCTCGGTGTAGTAGTAGTCACTGTTAGTGGCGAGGAAAACCTTGGCCACCTCTTTGATCCGGGTGAGTAGCACAGGGAGGTTTGGCTGTAAACATTTATACTTTCAGTGTTTCAGTCTGCAAACATAAACTCAGACTGATAATCTTTTCAGTTTACTCACATCTCTGACAACGTATTTCTCCAAATTCTTGGTAGTTAATTCTTTCAAGGATCCCTAAAAAACAGTTTGAACATTTTGTAATTTTGAGAAGTCCACACATTTTCTTTGTGTTTAACATTGCACTTTGGCGGGTTTTGTGAACTCACTGTATCATGAGTGTAGTCCACGGCATCTCGAACATCCTGGAACATGCTTCTGTACGACATTAGCAAGTCACCGTGCTGGAAACCTTTCAGGAGGCTGGAAGAGTTTAACACAGGTATGGAAGGGACAAAGAGTTTATTCAACAGTGAATATTTCTCCAAGTCTTGGTGGGATGATAGTTTAATATAATATGGATAAAATATGTGACTTACTTTGTGTATCTGGTACATCCAGTAAAGAAGTCAACCAGGCAGGCATAGAGATAAGTCTCTGCAGGGTGCATATAAATCGTAAATTGTTTATAATGCATAGGAAAATTTGAAAAATTGTAGAAAAGCAAAGACGCTAAACAAAATTTACACAAAGTATAGCAGAGTGCAGGATTTTATACCTGAAAGATTGAAGAGAGTGTTCAGGATGTAAAAGCGATCAGTGTCGTCTCTCTGGATGAACATGTTCGGGTAATATTTGTGAATGTCTTCACTGTGGCACAAAATGATAACACGGATCAATGTTAACAACCCAGATGCACTGACTGGCTGCAGAGAAACAAAAACATTTTTGCAGACGTGCGTGAATTTACATCTAGTTTGTGTAAATTCTTAGCTTTGAACTCACTTGCTTGTACTGACTGCTGCGATTTACAAGCAAAAAAGAAGAAGTTGACAGCCATTTCAATGAGACAATATAAAGGCCAAAACAAAACTACTCAATTTTGAGATTCTTTTTTCTTCCTTGTCTGTTGGATATCAATGCAAACCAGTGTTTATTCAGTAAGGTAATATCTCATTTTCATATTTAAAAGGAAACCTGATGTTGCTTTTTTTATAACAACAAAAAAAAGGTGGGACTTAATTACACAAGTGAGACCGCTGATGTTGATAACTGTTTGTTGACATTGTGTCTATATCTATCAATTTTATGCTGACTTGATTTTTTTAAAACAAGTTTATGGAATTACAGCCATGTTCATACACATTCCCCACTGACAGCTCTTTGTACCTCCTGTTGAGTTTCAAATATAGTTATGCACTTGGACCAGGACCTCACCTGGCTATGAAACTGTCAGGGAGCCCTCTGTCACAGAAAATAGGGGACTGTGTATAAAAATTACTGTAATGTAATTTTTTAATTAAAGCTGAAAGTTTATAAGTTAATCACATCTTGATTGTTTAATATAAATTTAACTCTAGTGGTATATATAGAGGTGTATATTATTACTTCATAATATATATATATATACATGTGTGTGTGTGTGTGTGTGTGTGTGTGTGTGTGTGTGTGTGTGTGTGTGTGTGCGTCAAGCGTGCGTGTGTGCGTGTGCGTGCGTGCGTGTGTGTGTGTGTTGAATCCAACTGGCCCAGCCTTGCTTGGGTTTTAGTCTTTATGTTTCTGTCTCTTTCTCTCTGCCTGTCCTCACCTCGATGATCTCTATCATTCCAAACAGTACAAAATAGATTATACAAACATTTTCTTTACTGTATTCACTTGTTTCCAACTTTACCCTTTGAGGAACTGAAAGCCATGACTGCAGACTAATATATTTCCATTTGAGTCCACCTTCAGGAGGTTCCCATATGTAGTGTCAACCACTAAGCCACTGAGGGGGAGAAAAGGGGAGAAGGTTTATCAATAATAGACAAGAACAAAAAAAAAATATAAGAAGAATTGATTGGCTACTTCATTGTGGCGTAAATCGACTTGGAACTAACCGAGTGGGGAAGCTGGGGTCGTACTTGTAGCGCAGAATCTCATGAGGGTATCCAATGGACACCATCCTGTCTCGTATCTGCTCAAAGCCCAAGCTCTCGTAGTCGGGAGACGTATACGCTGCAAGCAGAAATGCACACAGCAAAAGCATGAATACACAATCATCCACTGTTGTGCAGCTTGTTTGAAAGGAAAGTCAGAAACTAAAATGAAGAATTCAGCACAGAGAGTTCAAAATTATGAATGAAGACAACATGTAGCATCTTCAGGGTGATTTAATATTTTATACACATGCTGTAAAAAAGATGATAAGCAAAATATAGTTTAAAAATGAACAAATATAGATTAAGTACCTTATACTTCATTCTGCTCAGGGAAGGGTTTTATCCTTTGTTAAGTAATAATGACTTTATTGGTAGGATACATGGTATCCTGTTGGTATCTAGACCATTATACACTCTATATATTGTACTATAGATAAATAGGTGGCAATTTTTTAAAAGTGTGCAGTAAACATAAATTAAACAACCAAGTTAAAGTAAAAGTAAAAATGACGTTATTATACAGTTATACATAAACTGTACTGTTCTTGGCCAAGTGTATCAAATGTAAACATTGTATAGCTGACATAATCACAACACTGCAAACTTAAGGATTTGTAGGTAAATAATAATCCCATGACTCTCTGTGCTAGACACAGTCATGTTCCTCAGAAAGCAAGGAGAAGTACAGATAACTCAATATCAAATAGAATAAATAAAGATGATTAAACTTTTTTTTTTGCTTTTACTTACTTGCTAGCGTGTAGTCCATGTCGAAGCCATAGCATTTAATATTTTCCAGCGTCAGGCTTCTGTTGACAAACACCCTGTGATCAAACAGAAACACAGCTGAAGGCAGACAGTCATAGAAATTCATTTTTTATGCACTATGGTCAATTTGATGTTTTCATTTATCAGAATGGGTTTCCTAAGGTTCCGTTTGCGTCTTGGCTTTTTGACATCAGGTCTGCCCTGAGATGTGGATTAAATGAATCTTCAAGGGGCAGAAGTCATTTAGTGTGTGAAGCTATGATTTAATTTCTCTTTTCCACCAAAGAAATTCAGAGACTTCCATACTTAGTTTGAACCTATCCTACCCTTGAAGTCCCTCAAGTCAGGGTGGTGCTGGGTGGAGGCTAAAGATGTTATCAAAACCAATGTCATCACAGATGTTTGAAATGACTGCCAAATACTTAACATGGTGTATTTTGAACAACATATTAAAAATAATCATGACGTATTTTTGTCTGTCATGTATTTTCTACATCATTTGCCCCCAGATGCTACCTTTTAACCACACAGAGCAGGGAGGCCTGTCTGCAGCACCAGGATGGCCCAGTCTCAACCTTTCCTGACAGTTCATACATATAGAGTTGCTGTAAATAATTAATCTGTAAGCTCTTGTTCTGTGAATGTGTTTCTCCTGAGTTCCACACAGAAAATAAAAGCTGTCAGCGAGGGAGTGTTTCTGATGCAGGAGCACTTACTGACAGGAAGCAGCTGAATAAGCTGATGATTCAAATAGTTGTGTAGGTTAGAGTGCAAACTTTCAGAATAGAGAAATAGGTCAGAATGTCAGAAAGCACTGGAAGTTGTGGAAATATACCAGTGGATTTTTTAAATTTATTTTTTGCAATTCATTGTCTAACTTATTATATGAGCAACAGTATTCTTATGATGTATAAATACGTAATTAACTTGTGATCAGCAAAAATGCAAAGAAAGAGCTGAAACTGACGACTTTTCTTTTCTTTTTTTGTTCTTTTTTTTTTTAAATATATTGTAAAACCTTAGAAATTCTGATCGTGGAAATTCATCTTTAGGTTAAAAAGTGTTTCAATTAGCAGCAGTTTACATATTCGTGTGCAATATTACCCCAGTTGAACTTACTTTTGTTCAAGGCGCCTCTTCTTCTCCTCGGTGGAGATGCTTGTGTCCATTGCCTCCATGGTCCACACCTGCTGATGTGCAGCTCCTCTTTTCAAAGAGGTATTTAAATTCTCAAATGTACCCAAAACTTTGTAGGCGTGCCGCTGAGCGTCTTCTCTGTTTTTGTGCACATGTTGAAACCCCTCCTTTTGACTAAGTGCTCATTAATGACGTAAACGGCCGTGGGACACGCGCACGCAGCCTGCCGCCCCCCTGCATTGACACCCATGGTGCTGCGGAGCTTTCAGCTTGGAGTGGGTAGATTGTGTTATCAGAGGCACACACATGTGCACAGGCTACATGTGTGCGTAACTAATGGGAGTTTTGCTGATGGCTGTCAGTCCCGCTGCGACTCGAGCAGCTCAAGTACACGCTGCATGTATCAAAGCAAAACATTTCTGATATTTGATTTATGAATCATTTGGTTTGCGTTTCATGTGCAGAAGCGTTATCAGCAGCATGCGCTCAAAGTAGCAGCAACAATTTGGAGACATACTGTCCAATTTCACCCAGAAACACATCCTCATCCTCACATTTATGCACAAAGCAGCCTTAAGGGTCACCAGGAAGAGAAAAACTGTATACAAGCATCCATACATTGGAAATCGTTTTCATTTCTCTTTCAGTCTCCCTCTCTTCGTTTTTACACTGTTAACTTCATATGTATAGTGTCACACAGGTGCTTTTACGTAATTGAATGTTGTCATTTTGTTTATGCATTGTGAATGTAAAAGCCCAACAAGGGAAAAGTGTTGGAAATAGGCAACAGCTGTATACTATGTGCTGCACATCTGTCTCATGCTCCATATATGTTAAACTGCATTGCCCCTTTAAAAAAAATAAGAAAATGCGTTTTCAAGTATGCTTTTAAATCTCTTCACCTTTTAGTAACTTACATCAAACTTGAGCTTCGCAGTTTTTGTTTTTTTTTGTTTGTTTTGTAGCAAATATTATTTGTAAAACTCATGTTTTGTACATTTGTGGTTTGTGTACTGCGGTTGTTTCTCTATGTGCTGTACTGTAAGTCCCTTTGGGCTGGGACTTATCTGCATGACACACCACCATGACATAACCAACCCTCTTTTTCTATATATAGTGTCACACAGGTGGAAAAACGTCATCAGTATTTAAACGGCACTCCAGTGATACAACTGGTCAGGATGGAAAAAGACTGTGGAGCAGTTTCAACTATAGAAATGCATCATGTTTCAGACGAGTTAAATATTACTGTGTAATTTATGGTTGATTTACCACATTTGAGAAGAAATTAAAAATCATAGCTTATAGCAAAAAGCACAAGAGCAAACACAACAATATTTTAAGGTCTGATATTAAAGTTTTAGAGTAAAGTAAGAAAACGCAAATAGAAAAAAATGCTGCTACAACTCACTTTAAAATCATTTTTTTAATAATCAAACAAGAGTGAAAGATCTATAACGTGTCAGTAATGTCAAACTCACAATATGGGTCATGGGCCATATGCAGCCCACTTTGATCATAAGTGGGCTGGACCAGTGAAACTCTCCTTTCTGTCTGTGTAAAGACATTTAACTACACACTGAATCCCTAAGACATCTTAACATAAGAAAAAGAAGTGCAGTTACAACAGCACAGCTCAGTTTTTCTACGCCATATACTATACTGTTGTAGTAAATGAAAGAAAGTTCGGGTATAAACTGTAAGAAAATGTTTGACAGAAATGTTAAAAATTACAAAAAAAGTTCAGGTATGAAAACAGAAATAAATTATTCATTGACAGAAAATGTCCTATTTTATATTTAATTTTTTGTTTGTTTGTTTTTTTATCTTACTGCGTACCCATTGTAAAGAAAGAAAAAGAAAAAAAGAAAATACGTTTTTATAGTAGATAAAATGACTTTTCTGTCATTTATTTGTTTTTTGTATTACACAGTTATGTTGGTGCAGTGTGAATGTCCTTCATCAGTAAAAAAAAACAAAAACAAAAAAACCCACCTCTGTGCTATGTCCTTGATGACCAGTTTAATCCTAAAAGTTTATTAACGTCATTCATATCCTGTCTGTCTGACATACAGTGACTAATTCAAGCTGCACATTTAACAGCATATTTTCATTTTTTTTAATAAATCTAATCACAGTTTGGTTTCGTATGATATGATTCTATTGGCGTACTTCTCAGTGACGTCTTCTCTTTTGGGTTTGCAATGCATCTTATCAAATTCTGCAGCGATCTCCAGCGGTGTCTTATTTTTGATTTCGGGGACGTTGAACTTCATATAAAGCCCACAGATGAAGCAAGAAAACAGAAAAATGAGAAAGCAAAAGTAATCCAGTTTCTCCTGGAAATAAAGCATTTGGAGGCAATTTGTCAGTCCTTGTGCTTGACACATTTCAAATGATCTTAAAAATATGCCACATTTTACATACTTTTAACATACTTACCACTAGGATGGGGAAGACCATCCCAACCAAAAACAGGACTAACCAGTTGAGGCTGCAAGAGATTGTGTACGCAGCCGATCTGAAAGGCTGAGCAAAGAGTTCCCCTGGAAGACTAGGTGTAACTCCAACTTTGGGGAAAATGTACATGCTACAATAAGATCTCCTCATTGTTTGGTCAAAAAGAAAAACTTCTTGGTGTTAATTTTACAGTCTTTAGAAATATTAGCTTGAGAGATAAACGTACCTGGACCAATGGCAAAAAAGACTATACAGAGGAAAATAAGGACCATGCTGCAGTACGGCATCCAGGAGACCTGACTCTGAGGAAAGCGAAAGGGTTTAAGTTTGTTTATTTATTCAAATATGCAGATGTATACACTATCTGTCAAAGGTTTCAGAACACCCCAATTTTTCCAGTCATTTATCACAATTCAAGTCATTCAAGTCCAGTGAATAGTTTGAAATGGTACAAAGGTAAGTGGTCAACTGCCAGATGTTTGTTTTTTTTTTTTTGTGAAGGTAAGTTTACCCAAAACTAAAAAATAATATACATTTCAAAATTATTTAAAAAAGGTCTTTTTCGGGGAACACAAAATGGGTTAACAATTTAAAGCTGTCGTTCAGCAATGGAGGTTGATCAACCATTGAAAGCTGGTGCTACTAATTGCAACTTTTCTGGATTACTTACTGCCCCCTCTGTCTGCATAAAAGCAGTGCTGGAACACACTGTGGTACCATGCCCTCGTGAGCATCAGTTGAACAGTATTGTACTACAGAAAGTGTGTGGCTACAAAAATGGCGAGAAAAATGGAAGAGAGACAGACCATCATAGCACCTAAAAATGTAGGTCTTTCCTACAGAGAAATTGCAAAGAAAGTAAAGGTGTCAGTGAGTACAGTTTCCTTCGACATCAAAAGGCACTCAGAAACTCAGACGGGAAGAGCTCTGGCAGACCCAAAGCCACAACTGAATCAGAGGACGAGTTTCTGAGAGTTAACAGTTTGCGTGATAGGCGGCTCACAGGACAACAGTTTCAAGCACAGCTTAATAGAGGTCGTAATAAGCAAGTCCCAGTTTCAACTGTGAAGAGAAGACTTTGAGCAGGTTTAACAAGACAAGTAGCAATAAGAAAGCCATTGCTAAGAATAATCCGAATAAGACAAAAGGCTTGCCTGGGCCATGAAACACTGCCATTGCACTACTGAAGACTGGAAGAAGGTATTATGGACTAATCAAAATTTGAAATCTTCCCATCATAACTACCCTTTCGAGTAGGCGAAAGGATGGTTTCACAGTGTGTGGTATCAACTGTCAAACGTGGGGAAGGAAATTTGATTGTGAGAGTGAAAGGGACCCTGAACCAAAACGGCTACCACAGCTTTCTGCAGCCCCAAGCAACACCCTCGGGTATGCGCCTAGTTGGGGTTTATCCTACAGCAAGATAATGACCCAAAAGATAAGTCCAAGCTTTACCAGAACTACCTCAGGAAAAAAAGAATAAGATAATAAGCTTGAAAACATGGAGAGGCCAGCACAGGCTCCAGACTGAAACCCCATCAAGCTGGTTTGGGATGAACTGGAAAGAAGAGTGAAAGCAAAGCAATCTACAAGTGTCACACATTTATTTATGGGAACTTCTGCAAAAGATATGGGAAGAACTTCCTGAAGAATATTGGATTTCTATTGCAGAAAAAATGCCACGGGTGTGTTCAGCTGTTATATCTGCCAAAGCTGGCTACTTTGATAAATCAAAACTTTAGAATACATTTTTGTCTATAAATTGATTCCATGATTTCTCTTTTAACTCCAACAGCTTATTTGTACTATGCTTTCATTTCAGGGTGTAATGAGACATTAAACAGCGTAATTTTCAATTAAAAAATGCAAAAAAATTATGTGTCCTAAAACATTTGACTGGTAGTGTATATATAAATATATTTTTAAAAGTGGTTAGTTTTGCAGTGACTTACTTGCAGGTACAAAGTGATGGTGAGGAAAACTAGTGTCACAGACATTCCTGCGTAGCCTCTGAAGAGCAGGGCCGTTTTTCCTGTTCTGTTAATAATCATGAACTGCAACATGAGAACAGATTTAGCCTGCTGCTGTAAATGTTTTGCACAGAATTAAAATTAAACAATTAATTAAACAGCCACATGGGGGAGCTACGATTACACATGAAAACAGCTGCCACAAGGCATTTACATCACTGGTGAGACCTCCAGACGTTTTTTCCCTTAAATGATTTGATACATCAGCAGGAAGTAAATAAAACAAACATTAATGATAGAGTGTTTACAGGATGTTAAACACAAGGTTTCCCTAAAATTGGCTTGTGCTAAGTGACTAACATTTCAACAGAAGTCTGACCAAAGAAATGACGATGAGTCATAGGACACAAGTTGCCCGTGTTAGTTTTTGTCCACTCTGGCTCCACCTGCTGAAATGCTTGTCTAGTCTGTTTGCACAAGTAAACACCTTTGGATCAGTCATTGTGCTGCACTACTTTTTGTCCTTTAAAGTTTGTCGTTCTTGAGCTGAGCACCTATATTTTGCTGGACAGTCCGTTTTTTATTGGATACAAACATGATTGGATATCAGTGAAAGAGTACTTACACAGGATACAACAGTAGAAAATTCACAGAGCCCGGTCCCCAAGGCAGTGTATCGTAACTTTTCTTCTGGGATTCCCGCCGCACGAAACACATCAAAAGAATAAAAGTACACCTGTAGAGAAGTTAAACATACACAGATAAGAAACTGTGTAATGTTTCTATTCATTTTACTGAAACTGGCCAGTTTTCCTGCTGAATATTTCACTGTTATTGTTAGTTATGTATTTATTACATTTTATTATATTTGGACATTACAGGATTTTTTGAAAGAACATAATCTAAAAAAGGAGATTACAGAGACTGGTGAAAGAAAGACTCCTCTCTTTCTAGCATATACACTCACAGCATTGATGCCACAGAGCTGCACTGAGGTGAAAGTTACAGCGACAGTGATCAGCTGCCAGCGGATCGTTTTGTTCTGAATCAGCTCCAACACTGAGTAGCTGCGGACACTCTGCAGGGCAGCTTTCTCCTCCAGCATCTCCTCAATCTCTCTGCTGTAGTCCTTATTGCCCCAAAGCTGCTTTAAAGCTAAGGTGGCATGAAAAAACATGAGATTTAAATGGTAAGTTAACAGTCACTAAGTAAAAAAAATCCCCTAAGGCTAAAAATGTTTTTGTACACCTTTTTCACAGGTTCGTTGGTCTCCTCTGTCCAGCAACAGGAAGCTGGGAGATTCTGGCAGGAAGAACAGGGTGATGAGTTGAAACAACCCAGTGAAACCGATGAAACCAAGCAGCCAGGGCCACAGCTTCTCTGTACCAAGTAACTCACTGCAAGTATAACATCAATAGTCAAGTTATCACAGGTTAATATCTAAAATAGCAACATGCTTCCAAAAACACAGTTATGAAAAGTTTTAAAGGGACAAAGATTTTTTGCATATAATTCTTTCATACACGGTAACAAAGTGCAATAAATTGCACTTAAATAAATTGCAAATAATACGAACCATAAAGGACTGTTTTTCAGAAATACAGTTAAATACTATAAAAACCTTAAAGTAGTGATGTTGTGTAGAATGCAAATAAAAGCTGAATGCAAATGATTTTCAAATTTCAGATTTTGTTCAAAATAGAAAAGATATGTTGTTTAAAATTTCATGTAAAATATTAGCTCATGATGAATTTCATGGCAACAAGACAGCTCAAAAAAGCTGGGAATGTGCAATGAAAGGCTGGGAAATTAAGTTTTACTAAGGAGTTGAAGGAACATTTTGCATCTAATTAGGCTAACGGTAACAGGTCAAAAGAACATCTTATAGAGAAATGGCCAGATGAAATTTACCAGTCCACAAAGAAATGTCTACAAATATGTGAATATGTCCCACATTGTAATACCACATGATCTGACCCTTTGCAGTCCTGTTGCATTGGCTGCAGTGACTCAGTCAAAATTAAGACCTGACTGAAATGCTGTGGTGAGCTCTTAAGAAAGCTAAATGAATGCCCAAAGCAGTGCTGAGAAGAAGAGTGAGCCAAATTTCCTCCACAATGAGAGAATGATGATGTTATACAGAAAATGATTACTTCTGGTTATTTCTGCTGAAGGTGTTAGAATCACGAGATGTACTTAGTTTTTCACAGGACTGTGAGATACTTTCGTTTTCACATGTAGGCTACCTCACCTGATCCCCAGCAGTTGGCCAGAGAACTTCCCCAAAGACATGAAGGAACCAATGAACACGCCAACAATCCCTTTCAGCTTCCGAGGAGCGATTTCCATGACGTACATTGGATAAACTGCAAGACTGGCTCCTAAAGTAACAGGAAAAATCAACAACACACATACACAATCTGACCAGATTCAATGAGGTGACAGTTTGGACAGCCAGGAAACTAGCTCCAGTGAGTTTGCTCAAAAGGTTACCTGAATTAATGCCAAAGAAAAATCGTCCTGCCATGATCATCTCAAAGGACATGGCTGTTTTACTCAAGAGCATCAACACGCTGCCAAGTATAGCCACAAAGGTGTTTAACAAAAGGCATCGCTTTCTATGGGACAGGAAAACAGAGACTTAGAGCCTGAGGCCAACGCAGAACATCTATTTATGCATGTCTTTGACAGTGCCATGTTAATAGCTAAACAGAATATGGAATTTTTATGCTCATGTACACCAACCTGCCAAATTTTGACGCCAGTGAACCAGCTGCTAGCGACCCCAGTAAACCCCCAATGCAGAAAATGGACACTGTGAAGGACCAGATGAGCGAAAGCTGCCATGGCTCCAGGGAGAGACCGTATCTTTGCACGCATGTTTGCTTCACCAGCTCCTTTATAAACTACAACAAGGTGAACAGGTATAGACTTGTCTATGCATGCTGAAAATACAGCTTAAGGTTGTCTGTATTTTAATTTAGTAAAGTATCTCACTTACAACAGAGGGGGAGGTCATCACAGACACGCTGTATCCATAATGAAATGTCCCACCGATACCACACACAAAAATGGCAGCAAATACAACAGGATAAGCTACCTGTAAAAATGTTTTTAAAGAAATCAAGAAATGTTTTTATGGAAAATGTAGGTACATTTTGTTTAACGTCAATCATGCTAAATAATCAAATTTTTATTTTTCAATACCACATTTCCCTAAACTTACATCTGTCAGTCTGTATGTTCAATTATTTTTATGGATTGTGTCAATTCTCCATATACAGCAGTCATTTAAATATCAAAAAAAAGAAGTTTTCCTTTCATTTATATGCTTGAGCTAGCCATTCACAATTCAAAAAACATAATGTAGACAAACAAAAATAGTTTTAACTGTCACCTACCAGGAGTCCTAAGTGCTGAATCATTGTTGTAGGTCTGTCGCTTTCGGGTGAGAAGTCTTTTCAGATCATTCACATGGATGCAGCACACATTTAACTGAGCGCTGAAATGATTAACTTTTTTCTGGGCCAAAGAATAAAGGTGTTTGGAACAAAAACAACAACTTAAAAAGTTATGTGTCTGATGTGGAATAAGTCATGTGGGCATGACTTTTGTTTGCTTAAGGATTCTGCCCAGTGATCATGAAAGACCCTTAACCCTCTCCAGGCAGAAGTTGCAGATTTGCAACAGTTAAAAACTAACAACCTGATTACCCCACATACATATTTAATGAGGTTTTTTTTACTCAGAAGTACCACTGCAGGACTTGGTTGTGCATTAGCAACAAAAAAATTAATTTGGGCCTGAGAGGGTTAACAGGCTGCTCTAAAGAAAAGTTATTTATTGTCCTGCAATCTGTTTAAAAGTTTGAAAAAGTTACACAGAGAGAGACAAAGACGTGATTATGAAGTTAAGCCAAAACCTTTAACCTATTTTTATTTGTCTCAAAGCTTAGTGGAGAATTGCATCACAAAACACAACAGGAAAATCATCTCATGGAAGGGATACAGAGCCATAAGTCTCAAAAGAAAGGTTACATTTTGGAAAATGTATTAGCTATCCAGACAGGGAAAACCTCAGTGTCAGTTGTCAGTAAACATTAAGCTACAACCAACATCAAAACTTCCTTAATGTTTGCACATACCTCATTCAGTTATACAAACAGTGAACAGGAGAAACTGGATGTTGCTGGAAGATTCTTCAGCAAAGAAAGAAACACATTGGTCTTGCACTTTTGTTTTGTAAAAAAAAAATATTGTGTGGGAGTTTCTTTTTATTCTAAATCCTTTGTTAATTGTGTATAGTAATCTGTCTTTGAAAGGCACAGTGAGATGTCTATTTATTCAAAGTGTTGCTTCTTAGGTTTGATACCCAAATTAAGCCCTTTCAGTCGTTTCCACTAGAAAAACAAGAGTGGCCCAACACACCTATTATTACAAAACTCTGGTTCAGAGTCAGAATCACAAATATAAACTATCAACGAACGATCAAAAGCAGCAGTAAGACGCTTCACTGTGAAAAGCGCAAATTTTGTTACATAACATCTGGTTCTCAAAAGTAAGCCGGTTCTCCAAAAAGGACAAAAGCTGTGCACAACTGTCCCAAGGAGACAGTGTGTCTGTGTCTGACACATGATGCAGCCAGATGTCACACAGCTGACCTCCAGAGAGGAAGCAGAGTCAGCTTCAGACTAAAAACACTGTCAATAAAGCACTGAAAGACCAGAACTTAAAAAAATAAATTCCTGCTGGTGAATGAAGCTTTTGCAACTGCCGTTGAGGCTGTATTTTCAGCTTGACTGAAGGAGAAACAGCTGACACTTTATGAGAAAGCTGTAAGACTTTTCTTACGGAGTCATTACTGCGAACTGAACGATGAACCAGTGTGTTTTTTCTTTCTTTGGAGAACCACACATGCACCCTCAGATCAAATTATAAAGGATTCAATCTTTAACTTGGGCTCCAAATTGACTTGTTGTCAATAGTGAAAAGGACTAAAGAAACAATGGGGATAAAGGGGAAAATGATCTTCATCTGAAATCAGTAAAAGATACATAAATATATATTTCACCAAGGAAGGCAAACCTACATACATATAAAAAAACCCACAATATTCATGAAAAACCTACTAATGCAGGGCAAAAATAAAACCATCAGTATCAATGTTGTACAGGTTGCACACTTTGCTGTTCAATTCTCTGACTTTGTTGCTGGATAAAAGTTATTTTGAATAGCTGTGAGTCTCTATGTCAGACTTCCCACTCTGAGAAGCATAGGCCGATCTTCTTTATAAGCCTGTAACTGCAGCCACATCCACCTGCCCATCACTCTCCTGTGTGAAGAGAACATTCCTGTCAAAATACTGTGATGATCTATCAAAACAAACAACTAGAACTTAAATACAATACACTGGTTTTAAATGGTGTTGGTGAAACATGAGCAAAGTTAAACCATGAGCAATCTGTGTTGTGTGCTAACTGAGACCAGCTATACCAAGCAAACATGGCTGGAGCCCCAGATGGGTCCCAAGCCCATACTATGTGCCCCATGGTACACTATCACCGTGACCTGGTGTGGCTTTGTAGTATGTTTGCTGGGTACTACAAAGACACTTCAACATTATGATGCTTTCTTTGTGCTAGCTATCCTCAGAAAACATAAAGACCCCGTCAGCAATAATAGGGGTGACATCAGCGTTATCAACTTTCTTTGTTAACTCGTGCTCTCTCCTTTAGGCTCTGTTCTGAAAAGTTCTGAACCTTTAAGCTGGGTTTATTTAAACATGCTCTGCCGTCTCCCACTGGGGAGGTTTCTGACCAAGTCTTCTAAGCACTTACATATCACATGATTGCTAACTCAGTTGCACTCGGTCCCCATCAACATCAGAGACTACTTTCATTCAGTAAAAGGACTAGATGCTACAATACCTGGTAATGCATTGCTTCAAATGGAGAAAGTCTTGAGGGATGGCTGTTATGAGGAAAGGCAACCCACAAACTTTACCAGCGAGACACATCATTGTGTGCCTCAACTTCACAGGGTGTTTTGGTCTTTTATCCCCAGGCTAATCCACCATTTTTTACCTTCCTTGGTTAGGTTTAGGGATTAGAGATCTGGTCTACATTATCATATTAAAATTTGGGACACATCGTCAGTAGTGGACCTTGGATTCATCGGGTGTTTCGGCCATTATCACTAGACACCCTCATCCAAGGAGGCCCTGCCAGGGTTGATCAAGCCCCAGAGTGTGTCAGTGTGTCAATTTAAAATAAACTTTTAAATTGTTATTTCTCTTCTACTTTCTTCTGTTTAGTTTTCTACAATTTATTTTCTTCTATCAATTCACCGCAACTGAGAAATAATACTTACCTCTCTAATATTTATGGAGCCTCACTTCTTCAAAGGAATAGAAAAGGTAATAGAGAGAAGTAAGACAAAAGAGACAAGATAGGAGAGAGCAGAGAGTGCCTGGCATCCCGCACCTCCCCGCTGGATCGGGCTGTGCGCTCTACCTCCCCACTGCCTCCCAGAAAAGGGAAGAAGAGCAGAGGGGGGAAGAGCAGAACATTTTTTTCTTTTTCTTTTTTTCTCTTTCATTCCTCCTTTAGGTTTCACTTTCATGAACTGCACAGTTCCCAGTAGGCTCTTAGCCAGCTGTATCAGTCAACCAGCAAAATTTCTACTGTTAGGTTTTCTACCCTTTTGACACCCTCTCCTGAGGCAGGCCCACCACGGGTTGATCAATCAACCTGGGTGTGTGTCTCACGGCTAGCAGACTGCCTTAGCTACCCAAGTGAGGTCAGCCCTCTTTAGCCATAACCAGTGACTGGTCCTCTCAGCAGTGTTAGCTAATTCTCTTATAGCCTGCTGTCGTGCCTGTCCTCTGATCCCAAACTCTATAAACAGGTTTGCTGTTGTACTGGCAACAAAGCACCTGCACCCCACTTCCACCGGGCACACTTTGATCTCCCAGCCTCTGTCCTCTGTCTCAGCTGCCAAGTTGGCATAGCGCAGTGTCTTACGCTCAAATGCTTCTTCAATTGCTTCCTCCCATGGTACCATCAGCTCAGTTACGTACACAAATTTTTGGGAGTTAGACCTAAGGACGCGGTCTGGTCGCAGAGTAGTTCTTACAATCTCTGTGGGAAAAATTAGCCTCTGATCCAAGTCCACTTTCATCTGCCAATCCCTGGCAACCTTCAGTGAGGTTGAAGGGCTAGTCCTCGGCTTGTCCCCCTCCCAGACAAATGCTGATGAATACTGACGCTCCTCTTGGTTCATGAAAGGTTGAGCGTTGATGGATTTTATCTTGCTCTCAATTTTCTCAGCTTGACACCTGAGGACCTGATTGTGTCTCCATGTGTATCTGCCCTAAGTAAGGCTAGTCCTACAACCAACCAAGATGTGCTTGAGTGTTGCTGTGACTGTACACAGGGTGCAAGATGGGTCCTTTCCAAACCACAGCTGCAGATTTATTGGGGAAGGTAGCACATCGTATGTCGCTCGGATGATGAAACTTAGCCTATTAGACTCCATTCCCCAGATTTCACTCCATGTGAGTTTCCTCTTTTCAAAACTCTCCCAATTCATCCAGCGACCCTGCTTGGCCAGCGCTATGGCTCTGGCATGTCTTACTGTTTCCTCCTGTCGACGTACCTCCTCCACCACCATTTTTTGACGTTCGGTTACAGATGCCTGTTGCCACAGAGGTGTTACTGCTCCAAGACCAAATCCTCTTCTGCCAAGTTGGACGTGACCCACCACGTCACAATGGCGAAGAGCAGATTTGGCCCGTGGCACAGCTGTGGCTGGGGTCCACTTCCTCCCTGTTGCTAGGGTGGGAGCAGTGCCTCTCACTATTGGGTCCCGGAATTCCGTGAGTGTGATCTCAAGCCTCAATTTAGGGATAGGCAATGACAGTATCCGTTCACTGTAGATTCCAACTCTGCTGAGGAATTTAGGAAGTCTGAGCCACTTCTTATTGTAGGAGCTCATTAGCCTCTTTAGTTGATTGGCATGACTGAGTGAGACCTCGTACACTGTCAACAGCCACAGTAGTCTGGGTAATAACCCAAACTGGAAGCACCAGCGCTTCAGTTTCCCTCAGAGTGCAGTGTTGTTAATCCGCTTGAGGTCGTTAGCCATGTTCTGCCTTAGTTGTTCAAGTTGCCACATCTGCATTATACCACTGTCCCAGGCTCTTGATGGACTTCTCTAAGACTGTTGGAATTGGTTCTCCACTGATATAGAATTGCTCGGCTGTCAGTTTTCCTTTTATGATGGAGATGCTGTGAGATTTACTTGGCTTAAACTCCATTCTTGCCCATTCGATGTTTTCCCGGAGCTTCTGTAGCAATCACCTAGTACATGGTTTTGTTTTCGTAATGATGGTCATGTCATCCATGTAGGCTCTAATGGGAAGAAGACGAAGGCCACTACTGAGTCTCTCATCTCCTGCTACCCACCAAGATGCCCGCATGACCAACTCCATTGTCATGATAAATGCCAGAAGAGAAATCGTGCAGCCTGCCATAACTCCAATTCCCAGATGCTGCCAGGCTGTGGTGGTGTTCTCAGCTCTCACACAAAACTATAAATCCTGAAAATAGGTCTTGACCAGTCCTGTGATGTTGTTTGGTACACTGAAATAGTTGAAATCCATCCACAAGATCTCACGCAGAACTGATCAAAAGGCCAGATGAAGGTCTCTTCGTTCTTTCTTGGCAGTTTAAATCTGGTGCCAGATGACGGTGGCATGCTCCAGACATCCCAAGAAGCCCCGGATGCTGGCCTTCTGCACTGATCTGTCAGCATAGTTATTTCTTTGCAAGAAAGTAGATAGTCTTTGGACCAAGACACTGAAGAAGATCTTTCCCTCTACATTCAGCAGGCTAAACTGACGAAAGTGGCTGATGGATGAGAAGTTCTTCTCCTTAGGGATCAGAATACCTCCTGCTCTTCGCCAAGCCCTTGGAACCACTCCTTTATGCCATGCTACCTCCATCAGAAGGTGAGAACTGTTTCTTTTATCTGGCAGGGTTTGGCCTGGGATGTTATAAGAGAGAGAAAGATGCCACTGAAAGAAAATCAAACTGAAATCTGTGCTAAAACAGCAAATACAAGGGTGAAAGTACAAGTTAAAATAGGAAAGCTTGTTAAACCTAAATTTGAAGCAAAGTCAGCAGGTTTGAAGCTGCATTTATCAGATTGAACTGGTGATTGTACAAATGTACTTTTTATGTCTCCATTAAAATGTAATTTAATTAAGGTTCATTTAGATAATGCTTCAAAATAACTGCTCAAATAAATGTCCAAAGTGGTTTTGAGTGGGTGCAAAGCAGTGAGACTCTTCTTATATTTTCTAAGAACTTCAAACTAAACTGTGTCAACAACTACCAGATATCCATAAGACAAACCCTAATAACCCTGGTGATCCCTAGCCCTTTTATTTAGCATCACCAGCAGGACAAATGTTCACTTAATGGTAATGATAACAATAATAATATTATTAATATACATTCTGTATATAGACAGCCAAAGCATCCCCGCACAGAGATGGAGGCAAAACTCATTCTTGTTTTAAGTGGTCTCTTGTGAGCCCTCCAGTTTAATAGAAGTGCAAAATGAATCAGTGAAGAACGCCTTAAATGAAGTCAGCCTTAGAAGCTGCTCCAAACCGAGGTGTCACTTAGCATTTTCATGAGTGCTGTTATTTTTCCATTGCATTTATCCAAACTGTCTTCACTTTTATCCAAGCAGTTTCGGTTCTTGCAAACTTTTAACCACGGTAGAGATTTTGTTTATATTGTGTATGGTGTAAGAATGTTTAGTACACAAATGGGAAAAGCAGCACGGTGGTGCAGTACTTAACACAGTCACCTCAGATGAGTTTGCATGTTCCTCCCATGTATCTGCGTGAATTCTGTCCGGGTCCTCTGGGATCCTCCCACAGTTCAAAGACAAGCAGTTAGTGGGGTTGGGATAATTATTGATCCTAAATTTCCTAGAGGTGTAAATGTGAGGGCAAATGGTTGTCTGTCTCTTTGTGTTGGCTCTGTGATAGTCTGGTGTTTTCTCTTGTCATGTGTCAGTGACATGTTTTGCATCTTCCATCCCTTGCACTGACTTTAGATTTGGAACAATGTGTCAGTTTCTCCATTTATATTCCCAGGAAATAACTCTGTATTTCTGAGTCTGGACTCTTTGTTTCAGGCTGTCTCAGAAACACTTGGCAGTAGAAACTGACACTCAAGGCCTGGTGCCAAACTCGTGAAGTCCTCCTAAGTAGACGGAGACCCATGGCAACGCTTGATCACGATAAATAATGAATGCCTAACAGGTTCACTTTACAAGGAGCTTTTCAGGTTCACACACACACCTTCTATATCCTCATTAACTCCAGTCTGGTCAGGGTGACTTAAACTGTCTAACAGTTTTATAACCTCTCCTCTCGGCTGATTATTTCCAGAAACACTGCACCCCTGCTTGGCAGGAATCAACCCTTTCAGCTAAAATGAAAGGCACATGATTGCAATAAATTATGGGGATGGGGGGTCTCTATCAGAACTTCCACTGACTCTGTGGAGAATCAGACTAAAGAAAACTGTTGAATAGGCTTCCTTAGAGCACACACAAAGCAATCACAATCCTACTTCTATTCAATGAACTTAAACTAAAATCACTTTTTTATGGTTCAGGGAGGTGAGGTTGTAATCACTTGATTAAACATACAGATGAACAAAAGGGGAGAAGCAGAATATCAAACTGAAGATATAACCAAGCCAGTCTGAACGAGAAACCACTAAACACACAATAGGAAGTGGAAAAACTGGCTAGTTGATCAAGACTGGAGGAAAGCACAAAGAATAAATTTACGCAAGGGAGGCCAGGGTGAGCACAAACAGTTCACAGCAGAGCAGGCCATCACAAGGACAGGAAAAGAACAAAGACAGGATGAGGCACAAAGAAAAGTATTTACCAAAATAAAACAGGGAGAGCAGATAACTGAGACCCAGAAAGGACACACACACACACAAAAAGAGAAAGAAAGACAGACAAGAAAGTACCCAAAACACAAATAAGGATTAAAATAAAACTGGAACTAAAACTCAAATACTTAAAAAAAAAAAAAAACTATGAAAATTGACTGGTGCTTTCACCGATCAGACATAACATTATGACTATCTGTCTAACATTATCCTGGCGGAATAGACTCACTAGTCTCCTAAAGGTGTGCTGACGTATCTGCACCGAGATGCAAGCAAGTGCTCGTTTAAATCCTGATACAGAGAAACTCATTGTTGTGCATCCTGGTCTTATTTTTTACCCAGTAAGAAGCACACAGGCACCCAACCATCCACATGATGCAAAAGAAAATGTGATTCATACGACATGACCGCCTTCTTCCTGTGATGGCATCAGCCACACAGGGGTAAATCAGTCCATTTTTCCACTTTATTAGTTTGTTTTGCAGTTTTCTTCATTAATATAATTCATTAATCATCAGTGTTGGGAAGGTTACTTTTAAAATGTATTCCATTACAGATTACAGAATACATGCCCCAAAATATATTCTGTTACGTGAGAGTATGAGAGTAACGTATTCTGAATACTTTGGATTACTTAATATATTATCATGCTGTTTACAACTACCTGAATGTGCTATTGCTGTGATTTATTACTGTTACTGAAGGTCCGCGGCTCCGGAGCGTAGTAAAGGGACCTCTGGCTAATACGGTGGATTCTGTGTCAGGCACGTAGCCGAAAAATAGCTTTACTTTGTTGTGTGGGTCAACTTTGCTAGCAAGAGACAGAGAGAGGAGTTGAAAGGCTGCTCCAACGGAACTTATTGTTTTTGGAGGAAAACACGAACACGGTGTACAGTCGAGTCTTAATAGCTTACTTACAACTGGGCTCGTCAGGCACTCTTCTTGGCTGCAGTGGTTATTATTATATTTACATGCTTCCAGCTCCCGTTTCTGCTCCGTGACAGCTCGTACTTTTCCTTTTTCTCCCTCCCTCGCTCACAGACACATAACGGGTATGGCAGTCCATTCTCCCTGCAGCACGGACTACACTGCCCATGAGGCTACATTCTTCCTGTAGCATTCTGCTTAGCACAACAACAACAAAAAGGGCTCTCTCACCCAGGAAACACGCAGAGAGAGAGCGTCACCCTGTAACCATGGCAACCGTAACGCTGCCGCCTGGAACAACAGAACATCACAGCTGTCAAACAAAACCCAAACAGTCCTGACCCGCCACAGTATGAAACAGGGAAGTACCGCCGTGTAATCCATTTATTTCAACAAAGTAACTGTATTCTAAATACCACCTTTTTAAACAGTAACTGTAACGGAATACATCTGTGAAGGTTCTCAGTCATCCAGGTCATCGTAGTCAAAGTAACGTCAAAGTAACGGAATACAGTTACTCATATTTTGTATGTAACGGCAGTACATGTATTCCGTTACTCCCCAACACTGTTGATCATTTGGTTAAACCTAACACTGATATTACGAGGCGCGCACATAGTAGCATCGTGTGGTTTTTCTAAAATGTTTTGTTATATTAATTATGTTTCTCTTTCTTTGAGTTCCCTGGGTTTGGGCGGTGGCTGTTTCCTGTCTGGGCAAAAAGGCGTGGCTGAGGACTCTGGGAACAAAATGCCTGCTCAGCAGGACCAACCATGGGCTTACCAGGAGTAGGGGTGTTTTAGGTTTAGTTAGGTTATTCTGTGCTTAGTTAATATTAGTATGTTTTTGTTTTCGCCCCTATTGTGTGTAAATGGTTTGGCCAAATCATTATAAAAGCTACCCTCATGCATCTTTCTAATTAGGTCAGTTTGTGAGTTAAGTTGTGTCTCACTTTGTTTTGTTTAAGTTTCTGGAAATTACTTTTTGTAGAGTTATATTTAGTTGACCTCTTTTACGGGCCTGCTAAGTATGTTTTTGAATGTTGTTAATTTTGGACTTTTTGAGGGTTAAAAAAAGAAAATACTTTTTGAAGATACTTTTTTGCCTGTGTCCTCTTTGCTTTGGTTGCTTGGTCCCTCACACTTCCATTGCTCTGTGGTCCAGTTCTAATGCTCATGTCCCCGTCCGGTGCTCAATTGTAATGGAAAACATCAGAAACTGAGATGTGTCAAGTTGAGCAATGTCAGCCGAGTCGAGGCGAGTAAGTGCTAGTGGAAAAGGACTTTTCGACTTGTGGACCCAGGTGCTGCACCGCCAACACTCTAAATGACACACAACCATCTCTGTCCAACATGTCTGTGGGAGAACATGCGAACGCCACACAGAAAGGCTGAGAACCTCCAAACCCAGCATCTTCTTGCTGAGAGGTAAGAGTACTAAGTGCTACACCACCATGCTGCCCAGAATTAGACTCTCCAGGCTTAATACAGAATTATTATTCCAGAGAAGTTTTCTTTTGTTATCTGTAGGTGGGGTTATAGAAATGATCAAAGAACAGCAAAGGGGAAAGGCACAGCTGACGTCAGACTTTCAGATAACCCCTCATTTAAGTTGCTGTGCTCAAAGCAGTGTCCTATTATGTACTCGAGCGATGCTGCATTTCTGGATCCATAATTTGTACAAAATGACAAAGAGTGGTACTTTCAGGTTGTCAGACAGACACACACACACGCATAATTTGAAGAAAAACATGCTGAGCTTGTCAGGGTTGTCCTCAAAGTGCCACTCACAGTGGATGCATTTTCTAATCTCCAGTGGCAGGAAAGAGACCGATGAAAACAAAGCAAGTTTAATAAAAGGATTTTGCAAGTACTGATGTTAATTATGTTCAGATACGTAAAATATGTCTTTGTGTTTTACTACTAAATCTTCATTTCTTGATGCCACATGCGGCAGTCAGAAACCTCACTCCTCACTTTGTGTTTCACATTCATCTTCAGTTTTCTTGCCATAAAGCACACGAAAGTCAGACAGACTAATTAGGCTGCGAATTTTTGCCAATGCATGCATGGCTGCTGCCCATTCTCCAGATTACAAGTGACACATTTACAGATGAATCAGCACAGCAGCACTATATCACTCTTCCTCATGGAAACCGAGAGTCAAAATCCCAGGTTCCATGACGCGCCATCATGCCCTTGAAGGTGCCACTTAAATCAGATTGCCAGTAAATCTGCGTCTCAACACAAATGGCTCTTCTGTCAGGTGTGACGCACCTAAAAGCCCTCCGTAATCAGGTATCAGCGACATTAGAGGAGGAATTGTAGTGAAAACAGATGCAAACTGATGCTGGAGTTAAAGCTTCTCACTCAAGTCAGGTATCCAGTGTCCATATGACTCACAGCTAAATAAATCATGTTTAATTCATTCCCAGCACAATGGAGGTGGGTGACATTGATCTTGAAATGCCTCAAGAAAGTACTTTCCCTTCTTTATCTATCCATCTACAAAATCACAATGTAAATAATTGCGTACGCACATTTACATTCAAATACGAATCATTTATGTGCAGATGGACAACAGCAGGATACCGCCCATTATAAGACCAAATGATAATAACAATTATAAGACTTATTTGTCATTTTACATAAGAAATATGCATTTAAACATTAATTAATATTAAATGGTTATTTAAAAATAAAAATAAAAAACATTAAGAGCAGACACTCGTATTTGTACATGTTGGACATGACTGGGCTTAAGAGATTATATTGAAGGCAGTATCACCTTGAGCAATTTTAATACTGTTTTGTCACCAAAGCATCTAAATAAAGATGTTCGGGAATCTGTTTTGATGACACTGGGTTCAGGTGCACGACTCCGTCAGATGTGCTTTGAAAGGAAGGAGCAAACTATACTGTTGACTAAGCAGGCTGTTAACTTTGCAGCTTGCTTCTCTCCTCACTTTTTCCTAACCTACTTGTCAGTATGATCAAAACACAGTCCAGTAGATAAACACATGGAGTTGCAGAGCAAACTGGTGCTGACTCTGTAATTGTGTAAGGAAGCATTATGTTTCTCTTTCAAGGTACATCAGAGGCAAGAATGGAGAAATGGCACAAAGGAGGACAGACATAACTCTGGTGCAAAACTCATGAATCTAATCCTGGAAGTTTCAACACACATTCCTGTCGACGGAACCAAAGCTACACACGTTCTCTTAATTACAGTACAGTTTAAGCCTGAATGAACAGAGATAGCATACTTTTAGATTGTAAATGCAAAGGCCCATATATTCAGTCATGTGGAAAAGGAACTTTTTCACATGACTCCATGTAGTCCTGTAAAAAACTAAGTACTCCATTACTGTTTCTAATTAAGAGGGTAAGTAGCAACCAGGTGCTGCTAATCAAAGGTACGTGGTTAATTGATCATCAGCAAATGTGAGCACCTCTGAAAAAGCATCGGTTTTGGCGGTTTGCTGCTCTGGAGCATTCAACTGTGTGTAAACACAATGTCACACTCTGTGCAGAAGTTGATGTCCTAACAAATTCACTCCAAAGTCAGATCATGCAATGTTCAGAGAAACTGCAAAATGTTATATCTCGAACTCTACAGGCTTTAGTTAATGTGTTAAATGTTAAAGGTAAAGTTCTGAAAAAAAGCTGAACAACTGTGTCTTGTTTGGAAGGATTGCCAAGAAAACGTCTTCCATGTCTAATAAGAGCATGACAGCAAGGCTCAGGTTTGCAATGTTGCATCTGAACAAACCACAGAACATCTGGAGCAATGTCCTGTGGACAGATGGAACCAAAATGGAGATATTCGGCAACAATGCACAACACCATATTTGGAGAAAACCAAATACACTATATTAGCACATATCAGCACCTGGACGCCTTGCAGACATTGAGTCGACTATGAAATCTTCTTTATATCAAAGTATTCTATAGTCAAAGGTGACTGACTGAAATGCTGCAGCTGGATCTTAAGAGAGCTGTGCATAGATAAAGCCCATAAATCTCAATGAACAGAAGCAATGCTGTAGAGAAGAGTGGACCCAAATTCATCCCTAACGATGTGACAGACTGACAAAGTCAAACGAAAACCATTATTTCAAGTTATGTTATTCCACAAAGACCCAAAGTTTTCCATGGAACTCCATATGGTCCTGTGAAACACTTTGGTTTTCATATAACTGGATCTACAAAAAGGCATGAATATAAAACAATTTATCTGGGTTTATTCTCCAGCTTGGAATTCACATTCATGTTTATTCTTCCTTGTTTGGTGCACGCCATTTTGAAAGAATAAAATGTACACCATCACAGCTGCCAGCATCTCATTAGAATATGTGCTTCCTGTCTCCTTGTCCACTGAAATCTCTCTCTCCCCTTCTGTGCAACCACTAGAAGGCGCAATAATTAGTTCCTCTGAAGTGAGTAACTCGATCATAAATCTGTACCTGGGTGGGTTAGCCAGGCTTTAGCAGTTTTAAAATACTATTTTAACTAAATATAAATTACCGAGAATATCTGATTTTATAACTTCCTGTTTTTCCCATATTATTGTGCATATGATTGTTCTGGATCTTGTGGTTTTTTTTTCCTAAGATCTGGAATTCCCTTACAATTAGAGCTTCTCTTTTTTTGTCTTATAACAAAAATAGAGTGTTATGACATTGTAAAATAAACATATTTTTAAATTACCTAAGAGGACAAACGTGTTGCTGTTCTTACGGTGTAATTTCAAAACACCGCTCAAAATGCTTTTAAGGACTAAAATGCTCTTCCCGTTTTGCAGAGAAATGAAGGCTAAGACATCTGACAATGCTTTCTATTCAAAGTGGGGGGAAGAAATGACCATTCTGTTTCAATGAAGGCTATTTTGTCTGCCTTACAGAAAAGAGTCCATAGACTCCCATAGATTGCGTGCGATTTGTGGCTTGAATTAACGAGCACGGCTCTCATTCACCGGACTTCACAGAGAGAGAGAGAGGGAGAGAGAAGAAGAAGCTTCCGGCTCGTGAAGGCGAGAGATGTCACGTGGCGTGTGCATCAGCCAATCAGGAGTAAGTGCGCATTGCGATCCTGTGCTGAAGGTTTGTTTTATTGAGGGGTTGGTAGTGATCAATGGGCGAGTGGAGCAGTCCACGGAGTCGAAGTTTCTGACTTTGAAGACTCAAATTTTTTGTCTGTGAGCTCCAGTAAACAGCTCCACTTAGACAACTGCAGGAAAACACGTGCACTTTAATACTTTACCACGCACTCTCGTGCAGTTCAAACTTTTGCGCCCGTTTGGAGCTGTTTTGTTGTTTCTGGATCTACGCTTTATGCTTAATGTACATATTGCATAGAAGGGCAACTTTACGACTTCACTGCAGATGAAGCAAAGAAATCATCCCGAGCAATCAAACTGCGCAGCTCGCACTCAAATCCCACCGCAAACACAACAACATAACTCCAATAGCGCCAAACGGCCCTATGACTAAATTTGCTGCTGCTGCTGTTACGCCGCGATGTCTGGATGATTAGGTTTCGGTCTTTGTTTTATGCCACAGCTGCTCAATCTCGGGCAGTTGGTTGTATTTCCTTGGGGTGATATAACTCTTGCACTCCATTAATAAGGTAGCCACCAGCGCTCACATCAATCTGGCTGCGGAGACAGAGGGCCGTTGCTCGCGAAGGCGTCACGCGCTCAACGGCCAATGAGCTGAATGAAATCAGCACCTTGTTGTAAATCACGGGTGACAGCGAGCTACTTGTGTTTCCTCTCAAGTAAGAAATTGGAAATCAGTCCGGGTTTTCTTAATAGGAGGTGCTGATGTGTTGTTGGGGGCAAAAGCTAAAATGCACCTGTGGGAGTGGCGGTGTCTCAACAAAGCAGAGCTGCACTGATCAAGGAATGTTTCACAAATCAATAGAAATAATGAGAAATAAAAAACACACACACCTTGAGTAAGTTTTCCCTGTGTGTCTTTGTAAAGGTGTGACAGTGCAGGTGGGGGGAAGCAACAATTCACTCGCTTATATTGATGAGAATGAAACGAGGCTGGGCTTCAGTTCCTGTGGTTGCAACCTTTTCATGACGTCGAGACAGTTGTTTTGGTCCCCTCTGCCCAATCGGAGGCTCCTCTCACACATCTACCGGAGCCGAAATGGATCTATTCATGCAGCAGCTCTGTCCTCCCGTAAGGACCGTGACGCCCTTTGTCGGGGGCTCTGTGGCGCCTGGTCGCTGCTTTAAAAAGCAGCACTGACATGGAAACCCCATTACAGCTGCAGAACGATTTCTTCCCAGAGCAGCAGCTCCAGCACTGTAAGTACCAGCACTACTGCGGACGCGAGGATCGCCTCGGCAAGCAGCACGACCAATGCTGCACCTGCAATAATTGCACCTGTGATGCGAGAAAAAGCCTCGTCTTTCGCGGGACGTCGCCGGCCACTGTGGGAACTTTAAGGGCACCTTCGGAAACGTCTTCGAGGCAAGGCTGCCAGTACAGTATCTGCGAGTTCACACCTTCTAGTCATGGTAGTTCATCCAGACATCATCATCATCATCCTCACCATCAGCAGCAGCAGCAGCATTGCCGCGATAGGCAGCGGGGCAGCCTGGGCAGCAGCCACAAAGACAGTAACTCCTACAATGAAATAGCCATGAGCAGCTGCAGATACAACGGCGGCGTAATGCGGCCGCTGAGCAACTTGAGCTCGTCCCGCAGAAACATACACGAGTTTGATTCCGAGTCCCAGCCTTTGCAGCCCATCTCCGCCGCAGATGCGTCGGACACTTTAGTATCCAAGCCGGAGAATAATTCAAGCACCCTGATGCCTTACGCATCGGGAGACGGAGGGGGAGGCTGCAGCCACAGCGGGGCCAAATCGGGTAAAAAGAAGAACCAGAACATTGGGGAGAAGCTGGGGCACAGGAGGGCCTTGTTTGAGAAAAGGAAACGGCTCAGCGACTATGCTTTAATCTTTGGGATGTTTGGGATCGTTGTTATGGTTATAGAGACTGAACTCTCATGGGGAGCGTATGGAAAGGTGCGTATAGCCCACTCAAAGTCCGTGCCTCGCAGTCCCATGTAGGCTAGAGTTGATTTAGGGGACATGTGACTCACGAAACAAGTGTTTTTAACGTTAAACAACTTGTGGTAGGATAAAGTGTTCTCAGGCAGGTCCCAGGCACGCAGGCCAAAAGGCCCACAGCTGTCCAGCCATGAAGGGGACCCCCCACCACCATCACCTCCAAAAAAATGAATGGGAGAAGAAGCTGCAATGTTAGAATTTGTTGCACTGTGTCCTAAAAAGCTAAATCGTGCAGTTTTTACTTACTTATTTATTTATTTTGGCACATTAGTAGGAGTTACTCCAGCATGTAAGACAAGATCTTCTGTCATGTTGTTGTGTCTTCTTTGACTTTACTGTCCTTGCTCTTTTGCAGGAATCCCTATATTCATTAGCTCTAAAATGCCTGATAAGCCTTTCTACAATCATTCTCCTGGGGCTGATTATCATCTACCATGCAAGGGAGATACAGGTAATGCTGATGCACTCTGTTGTTTTTTTGTTTTTTGTTTTAATCAAAGAATGTTTTATCAGTTTTATGTCTAATCTGTTGTATTTCTGCACACTTTTCCCCCTCCTTTTACACTGTTACAGGTTGATTTTAAAGTCATTGCTGCTCATTTAGTGTCAGATTTAAGTATTTTGTGCATTTAATGCATGAACATTGTGAAACGTGTGAAATGTGTGCTTATTTCTTTGCCATCTTTTTTTTTTTCTTTCAAAGAATCAAAGACTTTCTGCAGCCCTGTGAGTGTGTAAATGATGGGAGAGGTTGTTGCACTGGTGCTGTTGTAGGCCTAATCATCAGCTATTGAAGCCGCATTAACAGTTCATTATAGATATTGGGAAGATTAAGGAACTCCTCGCAGGGTTGAGTGGATGAATGATTATTAGCCTGAGATACTCCAACATGACAGTTTTATGACCATGCCTCGGAGCATTGTTGCATTACTGTGCTTCAGTACTCATGTCTTTGCCACAAATTTTCACTTCCTGCAGCATGGGCCTCCATTGCATGCCAGACGGCTTCCATGTGCCTGATGTGTTTCTGTCTCTTTCTTTTTAAATTCACCTAAATGGGAAAAGCTTCACCTTAAAAGAAACACCACCCAAGCATTTTCTCAAATACTAAACAACGCCATGTTTAATCATGTTAATGGAGTTTCTTACCTTTGCACAAGAGGGTGATTTTAAAAATGCCTTCAGCTGAACTGTAAAAGCTGATCCAGCTGTTTTCATCTGACCTTATTTCTTCACTTTGTTGCCAGTCTATAGTCTCAAACTCAAGACGTAGCCTCATTTTGTTTATGAAATAGTGCATTACACTTTGATAAAACATCACTTCTTACCTCTTGCATCTGGCAAACAGAATCTTCATCAGCTTTGTAGGTATATTTAGCAGCTACAAACCCCAGGAGAGGATCAGTCATTAAAATAGCCCAACAGTAAAATGTGTCACTGCCTTGAGATCTCTCATTGTAAACCTTTCTTCATAAGAGATGGTAGAAAGGCATCATTATCATATTTCACCGTACAACAGAAGCTGTTTCATTTCCCCTGCAGATGGTTCGCAGGATCTGTGTATAAATTAGAAAGAAAATCATACGTTGGTATGAAAGTATCAAATTTTTTTCTTCTTCTTCCTCTTTTTTTTGGCCATTGGATATTTCTGCTAAAATACAGAGCAAATAAATAAATCCATAAACAGAGCTTTTTTTCACCATTTGCTTATGCAGCTGCCGACCGGTGTAACAATTTAGTTTTGATGTAAAGAGACATTCTTTGTACACAGCATGTTTCTATTTAGGTAGAGGTATCAAATTAGTCCTGCATCAGCCACGCGGTTATTGTTCCCATTCACAGGAAACCAGTTTGCTGAGACGCTGAGACTACTCTTATGTATATATATCCTTGCTGCAATGTTACAGCAACACATCTGTATATTATAAACATGGATTCAAGAAGTTTAAATCTCTTTTCTCTGCTTAAAATGACTCTGAGGAACCGCTGTTTCCTGAGCTCAAGTGATTATTTTAGCTCTAAAGCAAGGATTTCTTTCCATTCCTTTAATTGTCAGCAGATGCATATTTAACACACAGGCAGGCTGCTCAGACATCTTTGATCAAGTCCCCTCTGACAGTCACGTCAATATCCACAACATTTTTCACCCCGCATAGCCCTCTTTTTGCTATAAAAGACATTTCCTCCTTTGTTGACCTAGAAAACTTTATTAAGGCAGTTGTTTCTTCACAGCTGATTATTGCAATTCGCCACATATTCACGCTGACTGAAGTAGAAGCTGGAACACTTTGATGAGTCAGAAAACATTATCAAGTCACCGCAGTCTTACTCACTAGACCTGCTCTGTAAATATACAAGTTGATTAGAAGGTCTGTCCTCTAATTCATCACATTCCCTTTGGGAGTAACCAGTCCCTGGAACTGACTTTGTCTCACTATTTAAATCCAGTTCACACTGTTATACTTCAACATCCACCACAACAGCTGCTCCCATCCCTCCTTGCCTGAGGCTCTTTTGTGTCAGTTGTTGCTGTTTTTTGTGCCAGTTGTGCCTTTTTTGGTTCCTGCAGATTGACATATGTGCTTTCAAAAACGTACACATGCACATGTGTAGACGGCTGAATTAATTCTGAATCTGCCTTGCTGATGGTAAACGCAAGTACACACAAGCACACGGAACAGAGAGAGACCGGAGAGAGCTGATAAAATGTGTTTTTCTTTCTGATTTTCTCTGTCCGTGTGCTGCCTGCTACTCAATACACTTGTGAAAAAAACAAACTGATTGTTTTCTTTCGGTTTATTTTTTGTTTAAGGAAGATAAACTGAAACAGACTCCAGATTGAATCCTTAAACATTTAAATATCAGGACTAAATGAAGGTGTAATGCCCCAAATTGAAAATCCTGATTGAAGGTTGACTTTTTTATTAGCAGTGAGGTGCTACGTCGGGTGCATTAGGAACGACATAAACTTGTCCAATGCAAATTTTACCATTGCCAATATTTTGATAGATGATTAAATTGGGGTGATACAACAGTTAGCACATTCACTTCACTTCAAGAAGGTTTGAGATTGAACCTGGTCACCTGCAGGCACTGTGCTGAGTGCAAATGTCCAAAGGCATGCATGTTAGGTTAACTGGTGATTCTAAACTGGTTTGGGTGTAGATATTAGTCATGTGATGCACTGGTGATATGTTCAGTGTGTATGTCCAGTTTCACCTGGACTTTAGTGTCTTTGCAGTTAGGATTGATGGAGATGGATGGATTTAAATGCGCATTTTTCTACATGACATCATGTTACTTCAGATTTTTATATCATTAAGTCTTCACTATATCGCTAAATAATCTGGTATCGTTTATTGGTGTTGAATTGGCCTTTTTTCCATTATTAAATGCAGAGATTTTGTACAATGCTTGCAAACACTGACAGTGATGTAATACAAACAAAAACCAGCAAATTGTCACACCAGACGAGCTGAAACAAGAGAATTTTTTGGGGGGAGGGGGGTTCTTGATTTTTAATTTGGCATTTAATTTTTAACTTGATTATCTGCTTAACTGGCAGTTTTGGAAAGTCTTTTGAGAAAAGCTTCTCCAAAGTCAGAAACATTACTTTAACAGGTGGAAGAATACGACTACTGACTGGTAAATTTTCAGTGATTCGTAAATTCACACAGGGAAATCTGGCAGTGGCAAAGAGATTATCAGATGCTATACAAGTATTAACAACAAAGTACAAAATCATATAAAGTCAATCATTTTAAAAGCTCAGCTGAAAGTAAAGCTACTGAAAGTGTTTCTTATGTATCTATAAATGTGATTAGGAAGTTTACCTAGAATATTAGAAGTAGAAGCTTTCGCTGCAAAGAAATGAACAACGTAACATCTAAAAACTCGTGTTTTATCAAATAGTCTAAACCTAAAGAGGAATCAGTTGCCAACTAACTTTCTGATAGTTGAATCATTCTGTCTTTGACCATGTTTTGTTTACCTCACATAAAGGCTGCCAAGTAGTAAGTGTAGCAAAGCAAAAAGTACAGTATTTTCCCATGAATGAAGTCAATGTAAATGTGCACTACAATGCAAAAGCCAACAACAATTGCTTCATATTTTCTTTCCAAGGAACAAGATGTGTAATTTTTTAAAGTGCTCTTGAACAATAGCTCTCCAGGATGGAGGTGTTTTAAAGATTTTCTTTGGACATTGCCCATTTTCAGAGGAATATTTTTACCTACTGCATGAATCATTCAAGTATTAAAAAACACCTAACTCAAGGATCAGCCGGTGTTGTGTCTACACATAACACACAACTTAGCAAAGAATGAATATTGAATTGAGTTGTTAGACACTTTGTTGCTAGCAGCCTGTCACAAAAGCTCATCCTTTGTTCCCGTTTCTTTAGCTGAACCAGTTTGGCAGACTTAAAATAGGATTTTTGTAACAAAAGGTGATTCCTAAAGAGCTATTAATCGAAAACTTGGCATAACTCAGCATGCTGTGGAGCGTGTCTTTAAAATTTTGAGGAAACAGGGCAGTGGAGGACAAAACAAGAAGTGGCAGGTCTAAAAAAAACTCTACAGCTCTGGAAGTTGTGTCCTTGACAAATTGGAAAAAAATCCAACAAAGACCTGACGCAGGACCTGAAAGATGCATCTGACACTCCAGTTTACTCGTGTACAGTTCACTGAAGACTCATCAGAAATAGTCTCAGTGGCAACAGGTCTGATGCAAAGAGTGTCTACAGCCTTTTGTAAACACAGTGGAGGCTCTGCCATGTCAGCATCCAAAGCAGCGCTTTAACAAGAAGCCTGGAAACTATTCTTGAAGACAAAAGTAATTATGAGAAAGCTTGTCTAAAAGAGTTCAAGCTCTATTTCTATATTTGTTTAGACAATTTCTGCATCTATTTCCCATTTTCCTAACAAAATGTAAAGAAATGAGGGGTGGCTACTCCAAATATTTGACATTAGAGCCTGAGTTCAGAAACTAATCGCTTTAAATGATAGATTTCCCATCTAGAGCTTCACCAACCCAAATATTTTTATTTTCTATCTGCAAATGACGTCCCCTGGAGAAAAAGTTTGAAAACCACCGCGCCCACCAAAACACAAACACACCCATCGACTGAATCCTTATTTAGCATTACTGCATCAGCACTCTGTCAGCTGTTGTGTTATTCGGTTTTATGCAATGTTCTTAGGTTTAACACGCCCTCCCCATCCACATCCCCGCGCTTCATTTTTACGCCTCTACAAGAGCCTAATGTGTTTGCAATGTTGCAATATGAATTGCTGTTTCTAAAGTGCACTTTGCCATGTGGGAAATGTTGTTCCTGCAGTGAAGTAGATTATGCATGCACATCCATGTGTACTCACAGATGCCTGTCAGATGTAGAGGCATAAGTCAGGGTGATGAAATGGTTTCCCCACCACTTCTAGCCCCTTAAAACTG